AACCAAACAACCAGACAACCAAACAACCAAACAAACAAACACACAAACCAAGAAACAACAATCAACAACAACACCAACATCAACAACAACAACACCAACAACAACACCAACACCAACACCAACACCAACACCAACACCAACACCAACACCAACACTAGCACCAACACCAACACCACCACCAACACCAACACCAACAGCACTACCACCACCACCAGCAACAACAACAACAACAACAACAACAACAACAACAACAACAACAACAACAACAACCACAACCACAACCACAACCACAACCACAACGACCTTCAACAAACACGACAACGACAACGACAACCACAGCCACAACAAAACAACAACGACAACGATAACGAGAAACGACAACGACAACGACGACGACAACAATAACAACGACAACAACGACAACAACGACAACAACAACAACAACGACAACAACAACAACAACCACCACAACAACCACAACAACCACAACAACCACAACAACCACACCAACCACAACAACCACAACAACCACAGCAACCACGGCAACCACAACCACAACCACAACAACAACAACAACAACAACAACCACAACCACAACAACCAACAACAAACAACCAACAAGCGACAAGTGACAGCGACAAGCGACAAGCGACAAGCGACAACCAACAACCAACAGCCAACAGCCAACAACAAACAACCCACAACAACCAACTAACAAGTACGACAACCACAATAACCACAACCACAACCACAACCACAACCACAACAACAACAACCAACCAACCAACCAACCAACCAACCAACCAACCAACCAACCAACCAACCAACCAACCAACCAACCAACCAACCAACCAACCAACCAACCAACCAACCAACCAACCAACCAACCAACCAACCAACCAACCAACCAACCAACCAACCAACCAACCAACCAACAACCAACAACCAACCAACAACCCAACCACCACCACCACCACCACCACCACCCACCAACAACAACAACAACAACAACAACAACAACAACAACAACAACAACAACAACAGCAGCACAGCAGCAGCAGCAGCAACAGCAAACAGCAACAGCAACAGCAACAGCAACAGCAACAGCAACAGCAACAGCAACAGCAACAGCAACAGCAACAGCAACAGCAACAGCAACAGCAACAACAACAACAACAACAACAACAACAACAGCAGCAGCAGCAGCAGCAACAACCACAACCACAACCACAACGACAACGACAACCACAACAAAAACAACAACGACAACGACAACCACAACAAAACAACAACGACAACGAGAACGACAACGACAACCACAACGACGACGAACGACGACGACGACGACGACCACAACAACAACAACAACAACAACAACAACAACAACAACAACAACAACAACAACAACAACAACAACAACAACAACAACAACCACCACAGCCACAGCCACAGCCACAACAACAGCAGCAGCAACAACAACAACATGCTAGCTAGCAGGCCTCTAAGAGATGTCAAATGTCTGCCGATGTGACCTCAAACAGCTCGGCTACCACAAATTGTCCTTTCAAATTTTGGGCATGGGGCGCAAGACAGAATCTCTCCAGTTTGCACGTTCAATGCTGGATGTAAACCCCCCGGGCAAGCACAACTCTGCTTGCCGTTTAGCCGGTCAGCGAGAAATACATATGGAAGCTCACAAACTTGAAAGTGCAATGTGACATGCAACACGTGGATAGCTCTTTTAACACTGCTCCATTTTGTCTTTTCTGTTGTCGTTTTTGCTTTTGCCCGAGTATGACAGTGGCTCGCATGGCTTGCATCGCCATGTTAGCGCACGGCGCTGTGTTCCTTGAGCCAAGCAACTGACGTCTTTTTCGTCGAGTCATAGGCTGACGGCATGATAGAAACTGCTTCTCACACTGACCAACCCCAATCAGAGGAAGCCAGAAGCACAATACAGACCCCTGGCGCCATGGAGCGTGAGAGGAAGCAAGGCCATGCCGTTCAGGACTCACAACGTTCCCCTTCTGGTTTCTGCGAAAGGTGAAACTCACTCCCCTGCTGCAATCTGATACGTTAACAGCTTTGATATCCCTTGACACTTGGAGCGCACAGAGCGCTCGAAAAAGTGTGACACATGGAAGCATGCAAAGCAGGCAAGGCCGGGAGGGGCCGCGGTTTCAGTCAAAGCGCACTCCTTTGCCCTGCTTCTGCTTGGCACACTGCACCCCTTGGCTTTGGACGCAAACCGCATGTCGTGAAAGCTTCTAGTTACTTGCTTCATGGGACTGGCATGTGTCTGCTTGAACGCGCACCTAGGTGCACATCAACACACCACTGCCGAGCAGGGCAAGCAAGGGCAGGTACGAGGGCAGCGTTGCACGAGGGGCGGGCAAGGGCAGTCACAAGGAAAGGCAAGAGAGCAGGACCAACAAACCTTAAGGCACCTTCCACACCATCTGCATCAAGGGTTGCAGCCAGTGGCCCGCTAATGTTGATCCTAGTGTTTGCTGGTCCTAGTCACCTTCCGCACCATCATGCAAACACACACGTGTCGTCTTGCAAGCGGTTACAGGCAGTGGTCCGCTCATTGGGTCGCTTTGGGTGTTTCAGCCCGGCTCCTGCTCATTTTGGCCGTAGGTTCTAAACCACTTTGGTCCTAGTGTTCGCTCATTTTGGTCGTCGTTTCAACAAATCATGGTCCTAGTCCGGCAACCTGTCAAACCAGAGCAATCACTGAAATCAAACATGTTTCCGGGAACTAGGATCGAAAAGGGCAGAAACTAGGAAAGCGACCGACACGAGTACATAGAACCAAAGCAAGTCGAACATTCGGACCGAAATGCCGCGCCCTGTGCAGCCAGGCATCTTTCTGTCACTTCAACTCCTTCTGGCCACATGGAGACAAATCCTGACACAAGCACAAGCAGTTTCTGCGGCCTTTCACTTCGTGTTCGCGGAACGTGCAATACAAGTCGAGTCTGACAGGTGCCCCCATGACAGTTCGAACGTGCGCGTGCATTTGAGGAACCGCGGCCTCTGCCTCAGGACGTACCACAGCGATAGTGACGGTCTCCTTGAGCGGCCAAGAGGGATCTGGACACAACTCGGGTGCGGGATCAAGCAAACAGATTTTGAGGAAGCACAAGAATCGCACACCCGGATCAAAAACAAGTTATTTTGGTGACCAAGCAACATATATCTCGAGCAGGTGCCAAAATGCTGTAATCTGTATTATTTTCAGGCAACAGCGCACGCATTTTGCGGCTATGGCCAGGGTGGGTTTAGGCTTGGTTTAGGGGCAGTTTATGGTTGGTTTAAGCTGGATTAGGGTTGGTTTAGGGTTGGATTAGGTTGGTTTCGGATTGGTTTAGATAGGGTTTTAGGTTTGGTTTTTAGGGTTGGTTTAAGCCACGAAAACTCGCAAAAAGCCACAAAAGCCACAGAGCCGGCGTTGTTTGCAACTGCGGGTGTTACTGGTGAAGCTGAGGATGCGGAAGCCAAAAGCCTCCCGAAGAAACAACACAAAGCATTCACAAACCGACAAAACACGGCCCTCCGCCAATGCAGTGACCACTTTGAAGCGATCGGAATGTCAGGATTGATTCGGCCCTTGCGCGACCGGGAGACCATGAGACAACCAGACCAATCAGGGGACCTGAATAATCTGTTCTTGATTTGCTCAGTCTTTGTTGATTCTGCAAAATCATGGCTGGGGGAATGCTGGACCCTCGATTGCCACATTGCGTACCTGGCCAAATGCCTCTCCTTGGACTTTCGATCGGCTCTGTCTCTGAGGTGGGGGCTGAAACAAATTGACACATGTGGCCAAGCGTCTGTGTCGAAACATGCAAATGGCATCTACCCACGGCGGCTGCTGTATAGCGAGGGTACTCATAATATCACCCTCCTCTTTTGCAAGTGTGCTGAGTATTCCTGAGAGCATGCAAATAAGCATCACTTTGCGTCGAGAATGACATTTCGCGAAGTCCGCGAGAAACACGATTTCCAGCAAAAGCTGGCACAGGAACAGAAGGATTCTGCAAACATGGCCAAACATAATCTTGCACAGCTTGTGTGCGAAACAATGCTGAGTTCTCTTCTCAAACATGAGCCGTATTGGTAAGTATCTCTTTTCCGGACGCCTGTTCGGGGCCTTTATAGGGGGCTCCAAACTCAGCTTTAGTTGTACCATTGAATTGCAAGTGCAAATTGCAAATTGCGCTCTCGCCTTGAAGTTGCAAACTCACACATTTTGTGAATGGTTTTAGTTCAGCTCTGGGCGAAACCTGGCAAAGGGAGAACGGCCGTGAAGTTGGGAACCCCCAGGACCCTACTCGTTGTGCATAGAGCTATTGCTAAGAGGGATACTCATTCAATTGACCAAGTTATTTGCAAGTGCACGAATGTGCCAAGTGGCAACTTCAGCATCCACAACTCAAGGCAAGGATCAACACCTGATTCCAAAGAACAGCTTCCGGCATGTCACATGTGACACATGTGGGGTCCCATGTGGTTTATGACCCGCTCCTGGGTCGCGGGCCTGGCAATCCTGGGATGGTCCCACGAGAAGGTCTGCACGTTCATCTTCTGCACCAAACCCTGGGCTGCGCTTGGCGTTGAGGGCACGTGGTCTTCTGAAGACTGATGGCCTGGAGTGTCTTTTGCTTTACCAACCCCGGTTTCTAACCGGGGCAATGGTTGGACTTCCAAACACTGATACTCTACAACAAAAGCTGACAAAGAACACTACAAGCGATATCGGCGATACCTGCCGGCGCCTGAGGCCCGCACCTGCAGCAATTTGGGATTTGGCGGCTCAACACCCAAGGCCGCAAGATTCCTCGAGAAGCCCTTGTCGCGACCCGCCATGTTTTTCGTTGCAAAAAATTCGATACCTTGAGCCAAACTGCGACCGTGACGGCCTTGCCGCTTTGGCCTGGAATGCGATGCAGAGACCTGCCCAGACTCCAAAGAGCAAGGCGACTTTGCCAGGGCACCATCTTCAAAGCGACGCAGTTGTTCGTCTTGAAGTCAAACCTGCCGTTTGGCACGTTTGGCGTGCCATCCGACGCTCCATGTTTCTCCCCCGAGTTTGCTTCCTCTGACTAGAAAGCCCGAGCCCCAAAAGGCATAAATTTGCCAGGCACACCCTCGGACCACTTGCCCAAAGGAGCCCTTGCCCAGCGGGTTCATCACCTGGTGCGAATTCATCGCTTTGCATCAAGACTCCAATGGCTACCGGTATCCGTTTGGGCTGGTGAGGCCAATGTGCCCCCTGCCCCCGCCTCATATCGGTAGAGAATGTGGTCATGCCTTGCACAAACTGCACAAGCTGCACAATCTCAAACAAAGCAGAGGAGCCAAGTTGTGAAAAGCGATTCACCAATGCTCTCAAGTGTTTTAATGGAGAAGAAAAACAACCTATATCTTGGGAGTTCAACGGAAGCGCTTGGAACTCATTGCCACTGCAAGGTTAAGCATCGTCGTGCCGTGCCACTGTGCCCGAGCTCCTGGCAGAACCACCATGTAATCGCCCCTCTCATCATCGTAGGAGTGATTGTTGGTGGAGGCCTTTGACATTTGCAACAAACAAACGCTGAAGGCCTCGCGTAGCCTACCCCAATCCTTCCCCCAGTTTCAGTATCCCAGTTGAAGCGCTCGAGGCAACTAGTCGGCCATTGTACTCCAAGCTCACTGAGAGAACTGGGAACGCTTCTGCCTTTGGCTTTCTGAAGTCCCCCATCCCTAAGGATTTCGAGAACTAAGCTCATTGCCGAGGTCCCCCGAATCTTTGGCGCACCAGCGCCAAAGTACCTGAGTTATGGCGTCAGACTCTGCCCACTTCCCCACTTCAGGTCGACCATGTTGAGAATTATCATACAAAGTGTGCTCTCATACAAAGTGTCCCGTGAGAGGGGGCAACACATCCCCGAAAGAAAGCCTTGTAATCCGAACTGCAACAACGACCAGGTTGATTTTTTTTTCGCAAAGGCGCCAAATCTGAGGAAAATCTAAGATTTCGCCCTGCTCGAACTCGGTCAGCTCCTGAGACGGGTATAGCAAGCCAAGGACTTCAGCTCGACTAATCGGTGCAAGGAGCTGTTTCCCAAGATGTCAAGTGAATCGTACAGTCCTTGACCCCTCTTTTGCTCATGCTCCACAACGCAAACCACGCAAACCCAGTCAGAACACCGCAAACTTGGAAAGTGAGTTTGCAAGCTTGCTTTCAGCGTCACTATAAGATCACAACATAGCACACATGTCGGGCCTGTAGCTTGATCCTTAAAAAGACCTCATACAAAGTTGCACGCTTTTGCGTGGCCTGCCCTCTCAGAGCGGTCCTCCATGTGGTGCTTCAGCACCTGCGAAGCACCCGCCAGCCGCACGCTGCCAGTAAATTGGAGCAATTCACAGCGACGCACTCCGCGCCTTGGCAGGACTAAGCGGGATCTCCAACTTCAGCTTCTCCTTTTCCTTGCTTCTCCAGGGCTAAAGCAAAGATATGAACACATTCGGTGTCTCTTTGGCGCATGACATAGACTGTGGGATGTTCAGATCCAATGGCAAGTTTCTCCCTCCAATCCCCTCTCTCTTTCCCTCTCTCGGATCTTGCGCAGCCCAACACGCATTTTGGAAAATGTCTCCCTTGGTAATTAAAACAAAACGCGTTGACCACGGAATGATAACGCTGCAAAGCCCCAATACGTGCCGGACAACACTTCACTGGGTTCAGAGTTTGCAAACCCGTGCAACAGTCACATGACATAGGCAAGTCATGGCCTGACGACAGACTGTAGTCTGAGCGCCGCTCCTTCTCTCTTTCCCTTTCCTTTTCCTTCTCTTGCTCGATGCGTTCCCGTTCGCGTTCGCGCTCACGCTCCTCATGCTCAAGTTGGCCAAATAGGAACTCTATACCTGCTCGCCATAGATTCAAGTTCGGGACAATGCCCGTCTGGGAGCGCTGCCCGTTCTCTCTCACGCTCTTTCTCTTTCTCGCGCTCTGCCTTGGGCGCAAGACTTCATCCCAACCTGCTAAACTATCTCGGCACAGGCTTTCTACTTGCCTCAGGTCGGGCTCGAAACCTCTTACCGTGTTTAAACGTATCTCCGTTTGGGGGCCTGGACTCGCGGACTCGCAAAGTTGCCCGAGCCGATTGCTTGAGACACACTCCGATCCCTGCGTGCCGGACCCGTTCGGCTTGTAGCTGGCTGTGGATACTTGCAGCTGGCAGGGCCGAAATGAGGCTGAAGTCCATCCAGAACGTGTGGGCATGACATGGCATGACACGTTGTACATGGGCAACATGCAAGAAATGTGGGCGAAGGGAACATGCGCTACTTCCAATCCGTCGGCCGGGAACATGTTTACTATCAGGACATTTGCACAGGTACGTCAAATGCGAATGGTTTGTTGGGACTGTGCGGAAACCAAAGCGTTGATGAACGGACACGAAGCCATGTTTGGAATGATGCTCTCCATGAAGTAAGTTGAGTTGAAAAGCTTTGCGGTTCCATGATATCTTCCTGTTCAAAATCCTGAACCTTCCGTTCAAAAACAACCAACAATGGAAGTGCCTGCAGAAGCTCTCTGGCTGGACATGGAAAGCAGGATGTTTCCCGATGCCCGGCCCCTGTTTTTTTTGCCAGAGAGCCAAAGTGATCGCAAAACCCAAGTCTCAACATCTTCCCAACGGCCGACGCCCTTCTCCACCTGAAATCAGCTGCGGCTGACCCGCCAGCATGCCGCCCGCTAGAAGCTGCTCCTCCGGCGATTTGCGATTCTGGCTGCACGGGATGGCTTGGCACTGCCGGAATGGTTTGTCCTCCACATGCGGGTGGAGCCAACTTGTGGCAATGTGCTCTTGAACTGAGCTTGACTTTGAATCCCCAGTGGTTCGGGGCTTCTGACCAACCTTATGCCACACAGGGGCAGAGTATTCAACTTTGCCGGTTTGTTTTGCTGCTTGCATCGCTAGGCCTGGTCAAGGCCACGGCTCCACCCTTTCATGTAGATGCAAAGTGACTCAAGTCTCAAGTAGATTGACAAAGAAGTGAGCAAATATTATTGCCAATCCACGCAACAGCCAGCCGAGATGGCACACCTGTAGTGTACATAAAGCCAAATTCAAATCAATTCTGGACCGTTCCCAGAACCGAAGCTTTTTTCGTGAGCCCCGAAGTGGGCGCTCGCCGCTCGCGCCTTTTGAGCCGCCCAGCTCTGCGAGCCGCCCTTGGAGGAGGGCCGCGCCGTCAGGGACCCACGGCCAGGCACCTCGCAACTGGCGCAACGGGACCCAACGGGACCTTCGGCGTTGGACGTCTTTCGTTCTCACCGATTGCCATGTTTGCCCCCAAACGTGGTACCGACATGATGTACTAGTATGTTTCATTATGTTATATATCATGTTATATGATAGTATTGATGGTCCGAAGCGGAAGGCTCAGCTCAGACTTGTCCTGAGCTTTGGGCTGTAGGATCACGTGCTCCACCCGACCTGAGCGCCCCGACTTTCTCCCATGACTGATTGCCAGCTCGAGCTTCCCACGATCTGATTTGCCGGGCAGTCATTGATCCGGAGCTGACTGTTCCTGCGGCACAGACCACAGTCTCGCAAACAGCCAAGGCTAAAACGTGCGCAGGTTTTGCTCTCAGTCGAATTCTTTGACAAGTAGACTACATTGTGGATTCAGAATCGGTGAACATCAATCAAGCTCTTCTAAGTGAACATTGCCTTGCTTGATATCAGCGGCTTCTTACAACCACTTGTCATGACTTGCATGCAAGTCATGACTTGCATGCAAGCTGCGATGAACACAGCATCCGCCAAACCAACACAATTTGATTCACAAACTCACTGGTGGCCTCCTTTGGAAGGGTTTCCCTCATGGGACCAAACGATTTCCTGCCCAGATTGCCTGGATCTCGCGAGGCGGCGTGGCTGGCAGCCTGCGCAGCCTACAGGCACTGCAGAATGAACAGGAGAGTCACACGTGATGTGTTACTGTTTCTTTTTCTTCTTTTCAAGTCTGGACATTCTGGGATGCTCGATTCATATTGACTATTTCTCTTGCTACCGAGCTCATCAAGATGGTTGCAGTGCGCAAAATTATCGCATCTCAATTTGCAAGTCAAGCTCATCCTCGAACATTCACAGAGCCTTGTGCCCACACCCCGATCCACGCAGCGCATGCCTGCTCCTCCATCTGCTGCTGCTGCTTGGATGGCGCCTAGGGCTTTGCACATGCACCCAGTGCACCATGGGTGCCTTCTCTGACCCAAAAGCCTCATGCCTCTTCCAGTCAACCAGAGTGGAGCGATCCTGGTGAATGTCTGCCTTTGCCAAGGGGCGAAGGGCTGAGGCAGCTTGCCCACATGCAGCCTCGGCAGGTGTACGGCCATCCACGGCCGCTAAAAACTATCACGCGGAATGCCAACAATACGAGGAAGCCTGGCTGCACTCCGATTTGTAGCGATCAGTCCTTCTACAGACAGGAGCAGTGATTGATTCACCTGTACCGGTTTTCAAGATCCTTTAGGCATTCCTTGCATTCGCCGCCTGGCGCTGAAGATTACATCATCGATCATCGGCATGATACTTCATGGCATGTGCTTCATAGCAGCCTTGGGTTGGGCCGTGCCAAAAAACCCTCACCCGTCGCAATTGCGGCAAACGCCCTCTACATTCAAACAATATTCACACAGCAAGCAAGCAGGCAGGCAAACAAGCAAGCGAACGAGCAAGCAAACACACAAGCAAGCAAGCAAGCAAGCAAGCAAGCAAGCAAGCAAGCAAGCAAGCAAGCAAGCAAGCAAGCAAGCAAGCAAGCAAGCAAGCAAGCAAGCAAGCAAGCAAGCAAGCAAGCAAGCAAGCAAGCAAGCAAGCAAGCTAGCAAGCAAGCAAGCAAGCAAGCAAGCAAGCAAGCAAGCAAGCAAGCCAAGCAAGCAAGCAAGCAAGCAAGCCAAGCAAGCCAGCAAGCAAGCAAGCAAGCAAGCAAAGCAAGCAAGCAAGCAAGCAAGCAAGCAAGCAAGCAAGCAAGCAAGCAAGCAAGCAAGCAAGCAAGCAAGCAAGCAAGCAAGCAAGCAAGCAAGCAAGCCAAGCAAGCAAGCAAGCAAGCAAGCAAGCAAGCAAGCAAGCAAGCAAAGCAAGCAAGCAAGCAAGCAAGCAAGCAAGCAAGCAAGCAAGCAAGCAAGCAAGCAAGCAAGCAAGCAAGCAAGCAAGCAAGCAAGCAAGCAAGCAAGCAAGCAAGCAAGCAAGCAAGCAAGCAAGCAAGCAAGCAAGCCAGCAGCAGCAAGCCAGCAAGCCAGCAAGCCAGCAAGCCAGCAAGCCAGCAAGCCAGCAAGCCAGCAAGCCAGCAAGCCAGCAAGCCAGCAAGCCAGCAAGCCAGCAAGCCAGCAAGCCAGCAAGCCAGCAAGCCAGCAAGCCAGCAAGCCAGCAAGCCAGCAAGCCAGCAAGCCAGCAAGCCAAGCCAGCAAGCCAGCAAGCCAAAAGCAAGCAAAGCAGCAAGCAGGTCATTTAATACAAAGCAGGCGCCAGGCGCCGCCTACGCCAAAAGCTTCCCACGAGACTTGGGTCCTGGCTGTTTGTCCCAGCTGGAGGCAGGGGCACCGGAACCTGAGCCTGGCGGCGCGTCGCCTTATCTGATCGAAATGCTTTTGCAACCGGCCGGTTGCCCATCAGGAAGTTCGCCGTGCTTTTAGCAGACTGGACGTGGGTATCGTCAATCAGTTTTGTGTGAATGTCTCAAAGTGGTGAACAGGTTCCAATTCTGTTGATCCCCTTGGTAATGCGATGGAAGCTTCCCTAGCCAGCAAATCAGTGGGCAAAAAAAGCTTGTGCCACAGTTCCTTTTGCCTTAACCCGGAGCGTTGCCTGAAACACAACGTGTGTTTTGTCACCTCATTTTGTCGAAGCCAGAAGCTCGGGAAAATTTGGCCTTTGGAAGGGTGTCAGCACAGTGTGCACCCGGTAACCATTCCTTTCGGGCCGAGCCTGTGGCACTCCCCAAGGTGCTGCCAAAGCCAGTTCCTGGCAACATCTTGTCACGGCCCCCCTTTCAGGAGGGATTGGCCGGGGATCCGCTTTTCGAGCTGGAATGCCGGATTCCAGCTCGAAAAGCGGATCCCCAAGACAACCTTCATCACGGCCCCCTTTCAGGAGGGATTGGCCGGGGATCCGCTTTTCGAGCTGGAATGCCGGATTCCAGCTTGAAAAGCGGATCCCCAAGACAACCTTCATCACGGCCTCCACCGAATAAATATATTTAGCACTTCTCTCGTTTCTGCCTCCACAACTTCTCATTTCTTCAAGACAGGAAGTCCATAGGTTTGCGTTGACAAGCGCCGTAGTGAAAACATCTGTAAAAACCGATTCAGGGGGATGATCATGCTCCCTCCGAATGAACCGGTACCAATGTTGCCTGGAATCCCTAACGGAGAGCTGATAAGCGCCCCTGTCTACCTCCTTAGTTGAAGCAACCAGGCATGTTGAGTATGGCACAAACATTGGTGTTGAGTTCCTTGCTGCTACTTCCGTTGCTTTCCCCACGTGCCCTCCAAAGCTTCCTCCAAACGTGTTCTTTCCTCCGTCAACTTGAACGCTGAAGTGCGTCGTGGCTGGACTTGACGGTGTTGGTACCAACAAAGCTCCTCGTGACTAACAAAGACAAAATTATCCAATCCTGAAGTCACAGTGGGTCCCGAATCCGCTTGCTGCCCAATGCACTGTCTCCTGCTAGGGACTTGCTTCTATCATCAAGCACGCGACAAAAACGGCGGCGTTGCTTGGACATTTAGGATGTTGCTATTATTGGGCCATTTGGCGAGCTGAGCAATTTTATGCACGGTCTCTTGCGCATGTGGTTGCTTTGTACTCAACCTGACGGTGCACAAATCAATTGGTTGGGGCTGCGATGTGCGTCCGTTCTAGAGACTCGCGATTCTGCATTCGGACGAATTCTGTCCATTGGAACAAATGGTGATTTCACTGGAAAGGTCAGATTTTGTTTACAGGTGTGCGTTCGACGCGAGAGACGCAGCTGAAATGCGTACAGCTTCTGTCCCGAGATGTTCCATCAGCCACGAACCATTGTCAATGGTTGAGGCGAGGAGGGATCCAACTGAAATTGCAATGACTCAAAGTCGACTTCCCAAAGTTGAAACATGGTGCCGGCCTGTTTCCAAAAACGCAGATTCGAGATGAAGCCGCCTCCGACTTCCCTGCCTAGACGGTTCCCATGGGCGCTTCGCGGCACAGGTCCCTGAGCAATGGTATCGAGTGGAACATGAACTTTGACATGTCACGACATGCATCCAAATGGAAAACCGTTTTCTCCGGGCTCCCATGCCTGCTCATCTGGCTTCATGAAGTGGCTGGAGGAAGTGTTGAGGGGCGCGAGCCCTCCACGCCTTGCGCAGACTATTTCGGTCAAAGGCTGATGGAATCGCCAGCCCTGTTTCACAAGCTTCATGCTTTGCAGCTGAGATCCCCACATACGCGGCATCTCTCCTGCGCTTCGGATGCAAGCACGCGGGTCAGCCCTGAATCCACACCTATGGCATCCAGTTGAGGGAGAGGCAAGCGCTTATGATGTTGTACCCTTCCAACAACATAGGCAATGAACCCAGCTCCTCGTGTCCCGGGCTTCCCACCGAGCCTCAGAATCAACCACGGGGCAATGTTGCAACGAACCATAGCAATTTCTTTTGTTCAAGTGGGAGCACAAGCATGAAGAATTCTGCAAATGGGGGTTGTCCAATACTATTTTTCCTGAAAGCCCTTCGATCGCCTGCCTTTGGTGCTCCAATCGCGACAACAGCTTGGCCAATCGCGACGCAAACTTGATGACTTATTCCCATCTTAGCACAAACATGTAGATGCTACCCCAATTGCGGCCCAATCGCCGGCCTTTCGCGCTGCGGGTTTTACCAATCGCGCACAATTAACAAGTTACCCGAATACATAAATTGAACTTTAATTATGCATTTGCGGACGGCCCCCAAATTGTCCATGGCAGAAATGGCAGATTCCAACGACCTTTGGCACGCCAAAAGTCAAAGGCAACCCCCAATCACTGTTTCAAAAAGATCTCTTTGGAAACCGTTATTAGGCACAACAAACCAGAAAAAACACAAGAAGCTACGCAATCCCCATGAGAAGCTAGATAATCCTTAACATCCCAGGAAAATCCCTACAAAGAGCTCCCCCCCGAACAAAAACAACGCAAAGTGCCAGCCCTGCAAGGCCCTCACAGCAGCTGCTTTTCCACTCATATAAGAAGAATCTTTGCAGCAATATGATCCTCCTGCCAACTCGTTCGCAACCATTTCCCAACTCTTTTCCAAGCGTTTCCCAACTTGTCCAAAGCTTTTTCCTGTTCTCAACGTCTCCCCAACTTGTCCCAACCTTCTCCCAACTTGTTCTCAACTTGTTCCCAACTTTTTTCCAACCTGTTCCCAACTTGTTCCCAACCTTTTCCCAACCTGTTCCCAACCTTTTGCCAACTTGTTCCCAACCGTTCCCAACCTTTTGCCGGCCTGTTCCAAACCATTTCCCAGCTATGCCAAACCTTTTCCCAACGTGTTCCCAATCTTTTCTCCCAACTTTGTGCCAACACGTTCCCAACTGTTTCGCAACCTTTGTTCCCACAAGAAAGAGGCCTCGGCCTGCCCACATCAATGGATCCAAACAATTCCTTAGTTTTGGTCATACTCTCAACCTGCCTTTTCTGCATTGTATGCAGCCTCGAAGAATTAACACATTGCACTCAAAAGACCTCATTTGAAAAAGGCCCGAATGGCTATTTAAAGAAGAAGGGCCTCTGGGTCTCAACAAGCATCAAGCTATGAATCGACAAGTGCTGGGTGCTGCACGACGGCAGGGTGTCATTCTTTGGCCAGTCCATCCTGGCCAAGTCTCAGAGGATATGTCACAGCGCTTTTGCTGCGGTGGCAAATAGCTGGGAGCGCCTCGCACTGGTGAGAGAGAAAGTGAAGATTGACCAACTCCTATCCGTCGGAACACGCCTGGCCTGGCTGACCCAATGCGCCAGGCCTGCCGTGTGCGCCCGCAGGCCACCAGGCACTGGCCTTGAGCCACACCTTATGTTGGCAGTTTGGCAAGGCCATGCAAGGCCAACATTTGGCATAGGATGGCATAGGGCACAAGTTGGGCGACAAGCTATACGTGGTCCGTTTGCGACCCCTTTGCAAGCTAAGCACGCGCGGGAGGAGGGCCGTGGTCCGTCGCAAGGACGCCCGACAGATAAAAGAACCTTCCCGCAGTCCAAGGGGCCAAATATTACCCTTGCACGTCTGTGCCACCCAGAAGTTCAGAATGCAAACAGGACACTTCCTGTCGCTCCGTGACGGTGTGGGTACTGCCCGTCGTTTTTCGACATCCCTCAGTCCGGCCCGCAATAATCCAGACATGTCTGCTTCCCTATCCCCATAGCCAGTTGGAAGGACTTCAACATGGGGGCGGACCGTGGTTGTTCTTGCTCGCTTCTTTACAGTTACACCGGAATCTTTCTGAATCTCCCTATCAACTCCAGAAGCAGCATGGTTGAAGAATCTGCTAGCTAACTATCCCAAACCCTCAATGTGAATGCACGCTGGACTCCCCGGCCAGAACACATGACATGGGTGCTTCCCAGAATAGACCGCAACAAACTGGCTCCCTCGATGCCCGCACCAGGCTTCAGTGACACAAGCATTACAACTTCCTGCTGAGTGTTGCAACATGTCACGTTCTTTTCTCCGAGCGATGTGCATTCAACGTGCATGCTGCGGGAGGCCACTTTCAAGCGCATAGTGCTGCGATGAACACCATGAAAAGGTCAGCGAAAGGAAGATTAGCATGCTCATGGGGTACTCAGCTATGTAAAGCCCTGCGCAGCTGTCAAGCTGGTCCTCTCGCAAGGCCGAATTGGCAGCTAGCCAAACATTAGACTAAAAAACCGGAGCCGCGAGGCCTCCAAATCAGGATTAAATCCAGCAGACTGGACAGTATGGATGAGAAAGGACAGCTCGGTAAAGATCTGGAGACCCGGGCAAATGAGCAAAGACGCGCAAACTGGAGTGAACCCCAAAGAAAAGGGTCTTTACTTTCAGTGTCGTTTGCTCTTCCTGATTTCCGCTCACCAAGCATCCAGCTTTTGAGCAGGGCAAGGAGTATTTCGCGGTCAAAGCTCTGAATTACATGCAAGCTGAAACATCTTTCTAGGGGGAATCAAGCACGACAGCTCGTCTCAAGGCAATGGCGATCTGGCAGGACGTTTCCTAAGCTGCCTTGGGGTTCTTGTGGCTTTGAGTATTCCCTTCCAATGGCAAACACTTGATGCACACATCACGGAAACCAACGGAAACCTTGGCATCACAGCGCTTTGGCGCTCACTGCCGGGGAAGCTTCCTTGGAGTGCTTCTTGACAGCCTCTGACGAAGCATGTGCACATCTGCCCGTCTGCCTTCCGGGTCCTATCTAATTTCGGGTCTGTTTACAGCCAGGTGCAACTGTAAGTGGCAGTGACACAAAAACGACCTCTTCAAAGTAAACACTGACAGGTGGGTGGCAACCCGACTTCCACTCACCACCAAGGCAAAATGCAATTTAATGTTGCTCAGCCACAAGGCCAACTCATGAATTACCTCGTGTTTCTTCATAGGTGACGTCGTTTAGTTTGTTGGTTCTCCCAAGTTTGCGCATATAGTGTGACATGGGGGCGTTGCTTGTAGTGCATCCAACCAGAACGCCCTGTCTAGCTTCTTCAGCATAACACACGACTTGCTCAGCATCAACATCATCTCTGGCATACAAGTGTTTGGAATAGAACATCCAGCCCGCGAAATGAGCCCGCGAAATGAGCCCGCGAAGCCTTCACGAAAATTGTCTGACATTCGAGAAGTGTCAAATGGAAATTGCTGTCGGCCTGCTCCTACCTGTTGCCCGTGCCAAGAACAAAAGAGGCAAGTTGTCCACTGCATTGCACGGCGTGCGTAGCTTCTCCTCCCCTTGCCACTCCCCCTTTCATGCTGCGTTGGCTCATCGTTCAATAGAATCTGACATTCACGTGTCTAATCACACTGTCAAACAGTCGCTATGCGACTGTCAATGCCAACGCACGCCTGGGCACTTGTGGGCCTGTGCAAAATGTAAACAAGGTAATCACAATGTTGTGGATATTCATCCCTGCAAGGTAACCCAAACCAATTGCCATGAGCTGCTTTGTCACCAGCAACAGCTTGGCAGTTCAGACGCTGAATCACTGGCAACCAGCAACGAGTGCAGCCACTACGTCTGGAACTAACAACTAGCCAGGTAATACAGTCACAAGCAATTTAGATGTTCTTGGTACGTGCTTTGCAGAGATGCCTGTGAGATGCCCATGGGAAGTTTCTCAGGGCTTCAAAGGAACTAGAAGTGAGCAGTAAGAAACCGAGATAGTCATAACACAATGCAAACTAGAAATCATTTGTAAGCAACAAATCGTCTCCTAAGTAACATACCTTTTTCCACTACTGGCCGCGTCCGCGCCTTAAGAAGTTCGAAGGCACGTTGGCTGGAAGGCCGATCTTGGTAGTGGAAGCTGAGGCATCTGGCAAGCGCAACAAAAACTTTAAGTGAAGGTCCAGCCGAAGCAACGCATGCTCTTAGAGATTTGCCATGTATACATCTTTGCCAGACTGTGGTTACAAGAAACATCGGCAATTGCACGCCCTACTTTCCGGAAACGGCCGGGCCAAGCATGCGGGCCAGCCTGCTGCACACATCTCGCAAGTGCCCAGTGATGAACTCCGGAATATCTGGAGTCCGCCTCGGAAGCCCATCCCAGCGATGTGAGAGCCTGCAAGCCTGCAGTTCGAAGTTCGAAAGGCGGAAACAAAAGTCTAGAATCCGAGCGCCAGTTGTGGCCGAGGCCGGCCGAGGGTAACAAAAGCTTGATCCGTGCCTAGTAGCTTTGCCGACTCGAGACAATGAGCAAAGCTGCAACAAGCGCAAACAAGACCTCAATATCCTCAATAGAAAAGAAGCGTTGCAGGCCGCTTCAATTGAACTGGCAGAGTGTACTCCCTCATCTTCCCGTTCCTGGCCTTTTGATTAGCATCTCCTTGGTGAGGTCTGCAAGTGTGGTGATCTTCTCATAGGGCAAGGGCCCTCCACAGATCTGGCCGGACTGGGGACGGGGAACTGAAGCGATCGCCTGACCTCTGGCAAGTCCCTCGTGCAACTGCTGGACTTGACCCGTCGCTGAGTCCATTTGGCATAGCGACAAGGCCTGTAAATCGACGCATTCGTGATCTTGGGCCCTCAACTTATGGGCTCTGAACAACTCTCACAGCACGCTGTTAGCCCAGGCCCCCTTCGCGGACTCTTCCTCGAGCCTCCACGAAAATGCAGCCCATTGCCCAAACCTCAATCGCGCGGTATGCGGAAACACCAAAGCCATTGCCGCAACTGGACCTGCGGCAAACGCCTGCCACCATCAATCCCTGAGTTGTGCTCTCTGTACTTAGATAATGGCAGGAAACGGGCCTCTTCTGCAGTCCGTGAGTGCCTATGCCTTCACAACCGAACATCTGTACACCACACAATTCCATAATTGGCAAGCCATGCTCCTTTCTGCATTGCGTGAATGGTCGGGGCTCAGGCATCAATCTTCTCCGTGATCTTCGTCTTGCAATCAAACAACTCCGGAGCCATGTACCTTCCACATGAGAATACTTCTGGGTATAAAGGCGCCGCTTGTTGCTCTGTAGCAACGAAACTTATGATTTGCTGGCAAACTCGCTGGGACACACTCTGGCATCTTTTTGAGTTTGGCCAGGTCTGTGCTTCCCCAATCTCCGTCCTGTTTCTATGCCCTGCCTTGGGGATCCGCCGTTGTTCTTCTTGGTGATGTGCGTGCGACTCGGCGACACATGTTCAAGTTCAGTCGAAGCTACTACTGATTCCCACAGAGCATGGCATCTGCCTTTAAGCGATGAACTATCAAGACTGCGACTTGTGCGGTGCTTGCGGTCGACGCTCGTAGCCATTGCAAGCTTGTAGTCACACATGGACAACACCAGCGCACAGAGGAAAGACAAGAACTCTATTACCCTCCAAAAGTTGTAAGAAACCTTGCGTACAAACACAGAGCAAAGTGCGCTTCCAACTGCAAACACCATGCTGTTCGCAGGTGCGTGACGGGTTCTACAGGATGATCCCAGGGTCAGGCGCGACACAAAATAAACCAACGGTTAGGCCATCGGAATCACAGTTATGCGCTGTGCGCAAGTCTTCTGAACAACTATACCTTTGGCATGTTGCTGGAAATCCCAAGATTAGGTTCGGCATGTGCATTTGCCTCACAAACATGTCATCGCCTTCATACATGTAGCAGGTTCCTTTTGGAGTAGTAGCACATTAACTATAGGGCGTAGGGATGCATGCAAATCAGCTTGTGACACTTGTGGCCTCGAAAGCTAAGAGAACTCACGATGAGCCGTATTGATCTTTCATCCCAGTGGACAATGAACACAATCAACGCCGATATGTTGTAACAATGACACAGAAGATCTTGCAAGTATTTCAGACCGCAATGGACTAGTGTTAAAAACTGTCCGCTTCAATCGAACGCAATTTGATGTGATTCGTTGGGCAGGGCCCTCGCGGGTGTTTGTGAAGGGTCCTGTTTACCGCTGTTTACCATGCCGCGCCGCGGCCCCTTGAAGTAGAGCGGTTTGTGAACCAGCTTGCGAATTTACTGAATTGATCAAGCTGTGTGGAGCCGATTTGGGGCCGGGTGCCATTGCCTGTCCGCCAAACGCGTGGTGGACAACAGAAATGCTCCTTACCTGTTACCCCTCACCTACCCCCAGGGCGGGGGGTCCCACCTGATCGGGTGGGTTGGTCGGTCTAGGATGCACCACTGGACCACCGAATTTGAGGAACCTGACTGACTTCAAGGACCGGCCGGAGGGCCGATGCCGTGAAAGCAACATTGATTCCTTTGCGATCTTCTGATGTTTATCCCCAGCTACCCTTGTCCTCTGTGCTTCTTATCACCCTACCGTACGACATGCCAATTGTTGCAATGATTGTCATTGTCTTGCTCTCGAATCTG